GGGAAAGTCAGACCTCGCGTTCGCGGGACAGCACTGGCGAAATCTTCCAACTGAACCATAACTAAGGTTTATCCAACAAAGTCGTAGGTTTGTCAGTGTGTATAGTCTATGGAAAAAAAGCCGCTAAAAGGGTCTGAAAGTTGCTAAATCTAGTGCTAAAGTCACACTTGTGTGTGTGTGAGATGCGGGAGCTGATGGCAGGGCGCGGTGGATATTTGTGGCGGTCAATGTGGAGCTGTTCCCTCACCACAGTGCAACAGTGAAAAGGGACTTAATTCAAACAGTGTCGCGTTCCGAACGTTGTTTAAGCAACATACACCGGTATTGAGGTATTTTAAAAATTCATATCATAACAAAAATAAACACCGGTATTCGGTATGAACCGGTATACTGCCCAGCACTACGTGCGCTCATCCGAAGCGCACAAACCTGCGCCTCAGAACGTGTGCAAATATTAAGCTCTCTCTAAAGTATTGTGTTTAAATGGACAAATTCACACAAATATATAGTCAAAATTCATTTAAGAGACAGTCTCAGCCAGAGGACGCGAAGATTTGTGCATGCATTCATCCGAAGCGTGCAAACCCGCGCCTCAGAACACGCGCAAATATTAAGCTCTCTATTGTGTTTAAATGGACAATGGACAAAAAATATATATATATATATAGATATATTTTATAATTATATAAATTAAATAAATACAAATATAAAATATATTTTAGCAGTATATGTTTGCCCATTTTTGTATATTTTGTTATATATATTCAAATAATATTCTGAAAAATATATTTAGGCCAGATAGGATCTTTCACATGTTTGATTACACATGACTTGTGTAATTATAATTACAATTATAATTACACATGTAGGCTAAACTTAAGCAACCATATCACATTCTGAGCAACCATTCTTGCATTTTCATAAAAGTAATAATGTAGTTGTTTTTGTAATTCCATTTGTTGCCACTAATGGTGCCAAAATTACACACTTTACCTTTTTGAGGGCCTCTAGATTTAATACCCAAGTGTCCAGTCAGAGAAAAGTCCGATAAACCAAATTAAGATGCCAATTTTCAGCAAACTGCTAATGGACAGACCAAATAGGACCAAATTAACAAAACTGAGAGTTTCCTCTTGGGACAACCAAAGGGTAAGTGGCTGGGGCCGTAAACACACACACACACACACACACACACACACACACACACACACACACACACACACACACACACCAACACCAC